TACAGGCATCTTTCCCTCAGAACATGCTACTCTTTCAAAAACAAACAAATGTCTAGGGATCGTCGTATGGGAGGTAGCGGTAGGCAGGATTTACTGCTGTCAATCAAGTGTTTTCCTCCAATGAGCATTTTCCTGATTTCATCGATGTGATTTTCGCTTTATTTCCTCTGAGTGAGATAGCCAAACTCATGACTGCTGAACTCAACACTAGCCTCAGGCAGATTCTGTTCCATTACCAGTACAGCTAGAGAGATGGTCGCTGACAGGGTATATCTCTCCTCACATCTGCCCCTGAATTATGAACTGCATCACTAAAATACAACAAATTAAAAGTGGAAATAGACTAAAACTGCCACAGACGCTTGCTAACATACAAACCTAATGTATGACTTTCCCTATAGTATAATCTTTTGTAAGGTCCACGCACTTGGCCCAATGAAGGTATCCAGTGGTGGATGAAGGTTTCTTGCGTGTTCGGTCTTTTCAGCACGCAAAGTTATTAACTTTAGGTTTAACTCAAATCGGACATTTTATTATCTAATCTGACTCCATTTTAGTATGACCTCGAATTTAGGTTGAAAGGCAAATTGGTTGTTTGTCGGTCTTTAATTATTGCTATTATTCTGACATTTGGTTATTCTAGTTAACTCTTTACTTTATATTTACTCGTTCATTAGGAATCTATGTCGCTTAGGATGCCTCACGGCGGTTGCTATGCGTGGGCTCCACGATCACAAACTCGCCAGTCTGATCCTTAGCCAGAGGTTTGTGGCTAATACTATTTAATATGCTTTAAATAGTAGGTCTGTTTAGCCCCCTACAGTTACCCATGTAATGCCCAAAACATTAATCAGCGGTTCTGATAGACCCTTTTTCTAGCCCCCGATAGTTAATATAACTACGTACAACTTAATCAAAGCTGAAACAATATGCATGGTTAACGTAACTGAGTACAACTTAAACTAAGGTCAAGCGGTTAGTCAGAAATCCAGAATCTCACCTGATGCGCCCCATGCTTCATCTAACCTGAGATTTAGTATGCACTTAACCCTGGACGCAGATTTGCGGAAACATACGCCTTCACTTTCATATAGAACATTATACTATTGACCATTCTGAGTGAATCAAGTGGAGGGAGGAGATGAAAAGGAACTGATGCATATGTGAGAGAGGCGTTTCCTGCACCGCCACTCTGTGGGGTTTCTCCAAGATGCCCGTGTAAGTTTGTATTGTCTGTTTCTCAGGGGGATCAAAGTATCTGAGTTTCGGAACTGATGCATATGTGAGAGACGTTTTCCCGCATTTTCTCTCAGTGAGATGTGGAAACAGATGTCTGTATGTTAATGCACTGTGTGTGTGTATTGTCTGTCTCAGAAGATCAAAGTGTCTGAGGTTCTGTAATTCTTACACTTTCTAGCTATTATAATTTAAAAAATGACCCTCTCTGTAAAAAGGGCTCTGCAGGGGTGTGTCGAAAATGTATCACTGATTAAGAACCTGTCAGTGTGCAACCTGAAATTAGAGTGGTTAACATGAGCAGTAGCTAAATGCATTTCCACCCTGTGAATGGCTTTTTAACAGTCTCTTTGTTAAATGCAAGATAATGCATTTGGTTCTATTCCTACAATCCATTTGCTTTTATTTAATATCTAGCACATGCTGTTCAGTCTTCAGGGTTCGATAAGAGTACTTCCCCTCCCAGGTTTGCCATAACTGTCTCTTTTTATCCATTCTGCTCGTAGATTGCTTCATTCAGATGAGATGGGGACGTGCCTCTTGATGTCGGCGTCTGCGAAATCACCAAAAACGTTCTTCAAATGATTTCATTTCCCAGACATTTGCTCATTTACATGGAGCTCAGTGAGTCAGCATACTGTAACGTGGAGTGATTAGACTACAAGTTTGACTTAACATTGATTCTAAGAGGGGTGTCATGCCATACGATCGTCCATTAGATCCTACTCTCACTGTAATGAGATGGTCTGGGATGCCAGGAAGCCTAAAAATGGTTGCTCAGTTGGCAGAAAATGAATTCATCAGGGGGATGACAGTGACATTTGGCCATTTTGACATCTGGCCCAAGGGGAATGTTTTTCACCTTCATTGCATTGATTTTATCTCCTAGTTCCTTTTCTGGTAGCTGTCCATTGCAATATCTGACTTTATTTTTTTGTATTCTGTTATTTAAAGTCTTTTCAATGTTGCAGAACATGTGGACTGCACCAGAAAAAGAAGAAAAATAATTCTCTCTGCAGATAAGAATAGCACTTGCATTTTGCCCTAAAACTTCTGAAGTAACTCCTGAAATTAGTTCAGTAGAAGGCTGCTTATCAACCTAATTGCTGATAATTATCTAAATAACAATTTAGTTATTTAGATCTTTTCTGCTCCATACAATAAAAGAACCCATCTTCAAGTCATTGGAGTGGTTTGTTTGTTGGATCAGTGCAAACGAGTGTTTAACTTAGGATACACCTTTTTATCATTGTTTAGCAGTTGGCTTTTAAATTTTCTCCCACAGCTCGTTCCAGACCTTTCATACTGTCCTCTGCTTTAAATGTTCCCCGGGCGCCGCCTTCATTTTGTCACTTTTTTTTTCTCAAGCCGCCACACGAGGATCGAGAACCTTTAATTGCTTTATTTTTCGTATTAATTCGGATTCCAGGTGGAACCGCGGAGGGGATTAAGTCCTGTTTACTGCCTGCAATGCATCGGATGAAAAGCTTCGTTCTGAAGGGGGATTTCTCACGCACTGCTACTTAATCGAGCCATTCAAGTTTCGCTCTTCTCCATTCATCTCCAATTTGCCATTATCTTCAAACGAACCCATGATGCCGTGCGTTTGAAAGCATTAAAAGGATTTCATCATTCTTTTTTTTTTTCTCCACGTCTTTTTTTTCCGTCTGTGCAAACTGTGAATTAATTTCACACAAAGATGTTTACGAATGCTCACATATCTCCATAAATACAGTCAGCAAATATAATTTCCCTACAATTCATAAACTTCGCTGTCAGCGCAGTTTTAAGATTTGCCTTTTGAAGCACATCGCCAGGCAGAAACACTTGACTGAAAAAGATCAGATTTCTCAGCTTGACCATTGGAAGGCCTTCTGCGAGTTTCAAAAATGTGTTGACATTTATCTTTTGTCCATTTATTTTAATCTTTTGAAGTGGGATTATCTTTTATTGAGTCTAGATGCACTGTAAAATCTTTAACAAAATGCAACAAAGCAATGGTTTAAAGATGAGTTTTTTTTATGTTAGTCAAAGCAGTCATTTGTCAACTCAAACAACTAATGTTCTAGAGATCCCTTAGTGGTGGCTATTAACTAACAATATAGAATATTATAAAACCAATCTACAATCAAACCTGAAGTAATTAGTCAGGATTAACTACTTTAATCACATGGGTATCATTGATGTACCTTAATGAATAAACGCTTGCTGAAAATGCAAATTTAGAAATGTTCTTACTAAATCATATATCTATCTATCTATCTATATATATATACTGGTTGTGGTATACATATGATTGTAAAGCGCTTTGGGTGTACAGAAATACACAAGAAAGCGCTATATAAATGCCTCATTCATTCATTCACTCACACACACACACACACACACACACACACACACACACACACACACACACACACATTAGAAGCATCTATACACTACCCA